GCACTCTAATAGCTTGTTGGCTCTCTTGTCTTCTATTAGGTGTGCCATAAATCAACATTTTAAAACAAATGCTCTCGGTTATACTAGAGGTGAACTGCAAGAGCTTTTTTTCTTATAGTATGGATTTATAACCCTTTTTCTTCTTTATGATGTACACAGAAACCTCAGAGGTGAATATATTTTTAGTATTTTTTTCCCCCCTACATAGTTTTTTAATAAATAATACATTGGAAACAGGTATCTACAGTGTTTGGAAACATGAAATCAAACCGCAACATCACCCTTAGAGCACGGGTGCTCCAACAGTTCTAACACCTTAACAAGCACATGCTTTTTTCACGGTGCAGAGTTTATTGTATTTATTTCTCTCTGATACTAGACTTACATTTGGGAAAGCAGCCCAACACAGATGGAAATTCTCCCTCAGCCTCCTTACTCAGAGAAGCATGTCGCAGAATGGGGATCCCCAAGACGCAGCTTCAGTGGCACACAGCTCTGTGCTGTGCTCTGCTGCGGGGATCAACAGAAAATTATATGAGCAGTATAGGAACACTATAATAATATAGCATCAACTACAGCTTAATGGGATGGTTAAGGGATGGGAGCACCTGTCCTGTGAGGACAGGCTGAGGGAGCCAGGACTGCTCAGCCTTAGAATCATAGAACCATAGGCTGGAAAAGATCTCTAAGATCATTGAGTTGAACCATCCACCCACCACCACCATGCCTACTAAACCCTGAAGTGCCACATCTACATGCTTTTTGAACACCTACAGGGATGGTGACTCCACCACCTCCCTGGGCAGCCTGTTCCAATGCCTGACCAAAGCCTTGAGAGAGACGGCTCAGTGGGTCGGAGGCGGAGAGGGGCTCAGGGAGATGGTTTCGCTGTGTAGCTCACGGCAGGGAGCACAGAAGACAGATCCAGACTTCTCAGTGGTGCACAGTGACAGGAGCAGAGGTCATGGGCACATATGGAGATACCAGAAATTTAATTTAAATAGAAAAATAAATCAACTTTTTTTTTAAACTCTGAGGGTGACTGAACGCCGGAGCAGTCTGCCCAGAGAGGTCTCCATCCTTGGACACGCTCAAAAAGCGCCCAGAGCTGTCCCTGTGCCGCCAGCCCTCTCTTGAAATGAGAAACAAACTCACAGCATCTAACAAAATAACGTAAGTGTAAATTCTGTGGAAACAAATTAACAACCGCTCCCCCCAAAAACTAATAACAAACAGCTCTCAATATTTTAAAAAAAAAAGCCAGCAGACGACAAACACGGCTCTCTCTCCTCGTTACTCCGCGAGGCACAGCCGCGGACCCACATCCAATCTAATACAAGATTCTGTTCTTCGGAAAACAAGTCCATAAATGGACAGCACACGCGTTTGATCTTTCCCAAGCGCAACATCCAGGGAAGCTAAATTCTAAATACCATTTACCCCCTTCTAATTTACTTCATTCTACCGCCAGCTACAGCGGCTGACTACGCCCTTCGCCTACGCCAGGCACCTGCTTCGAGCTCTCTTCCCACAGGAAGAGGTGGCTTTTCCCAGGAGGCATCGGTACCGGCAGCTTACTGCAAGCCTTACGGAGTACAAGAAAGCACGGGCAACGACCCGGGGCCAACCGAGCTCGCCGCCCAGCGCCCACCACC